CCCTCTCTCTCTCTCTCTCTCTCTCTCTCTCTCTCTCTCTCTCTCTCTCTCTCTCTCACCCTGGGTGCGTTCATCAACAGAACCGACATTGGCTTTCGTTTTTGTCTTTTTTTTCAATCAAGTAATTGTAGCGTTTTTTTTTTTGTTTTTTTTTTTTCCAACTAACGGTAGGTGTAGGCTCGGCCAGGGTCGGGCAACCGGTGGCGGGAGGATTGGGCCTTAACAACCAGAGGCCCCGTCTATTGGTGGGGAGCAGCACCTGCTGGAAACTGGGTCCAACGTCCCTTTTACAAGGAGTTAAACCACCAGTACTTCCTAAAGTTGTGCCCAGTACAAGCCACAATTTCAGGAAATGTACAGGCCACTACGGAAGCACCCAAATTCATCCGACTAGAAACGTTTCTACTTTATTTTTTTCCGCGGCCGATAGCTGGGTCAAGTACTGGCGGCTTAAGATAAAATTATAGAGGGAGAGGGGATGTCACGAGCAGCTGCGCTAGTGCTAGCGCCCTGCTGCCGGCCGACTGGCTAGGTCCGGTCGTCCCGGTGCGACTAGCACCCGGGAGGTTGGGCTCCCATTCTGCTGGGCCTCTGCACGTGCCTCATAGGGTGACGAGGCTTGGTGATAGCCATGTGGCACTCATTGATTGGCACTGTGTGTGCACCGCGACACATGGGCAGGGGAAGCGCCAGCGGAGTGGAGGATTGCTTTTTGTAGTAAAGAAGCGGCACAACTCCCAGGAGAGTCATGGAGACTGTCAGGGACCTACAACAAGGGGCCAATGACTGGCTGATTGCTATGGAGAGGGGATGTCAGCAGCTGCAGGCGGTGGTGGGGGTTTTGTCGGGTCCGATGCAGAAGGGGTCAAAGGTTGATGGGGCCCCAATGACACTGGTTGAGTGGTTGGAAGCCCGCATCCAAGATATGCTGCCAGTGGATATTTGTGGGAACTGGAGGAGGGACTGTATCCCCGGTTCGACGCATATATAGATTGGAGACGGGTGGACGCAAAGATGGGAGTCCGCCAGGCTTTATTTCGGGAGGGACGGGACCTGCGTTATCATATGGGGGATTGGTTGGAGAAGGATGACACGGTGGTGGATGGGGTGCTACCTCTTGGTCATCCTGCTGATGGGCTGGGAGATGCTACGGGTTATCAGCCAGTGATGAAGTCAACAGCCATAACTTCAGCGACGAACACATCACTGCGCACTTTGGCGGAGGAGACTACAGGGGCTGTGGTGACAAATGCAAAACCGGTCGCGGCATCATTGTCGACATCATCTGCGACTACACCGGTGTGGGTGCGAGGGGTGATATTAACAGCAACAGCAGCATTGACAACCATCGTAATAACAACACCGTCAACAGCAATCACATTAACAGCAATAGGATCAATCACAAACACGGCAGCGACACCACCACCAACAACAGCGGCAACACCAACGGCAGTGACGGAGTTGGCAGCGGCGACAACAACAACAACAACAACAACAACAACAACAACAACAACAACAACAACAACAACAACAACAACAACAACAACAACAATAACAACAACGACAACAACGACGACGACGACAACAATCGATAAGAACATCACCACCGACGGTGACAAGTAGGTGGGCAGCGAAGACAATGATAATGGTAGCGAGGGCAGCAACAACAACAACAATAACAAAAACAACAACAACAACAACAACAACACCAAAGATGACGTCAACCAGGTGGGAGTGGGATATTAGATGATGTCCCCTTTATCGATTGGAGTTGACCGGCCCTCAATTTCCAATCACCCCCCAAGGGGAGGAAGGTTGCTTAGGGTTTCGTGTCTTGCTTTGATTTGCTGGTTGGAATAATTGATGAAAATGCTTTTCGGGGTCAGATGCGAAGTGAGGATGCGCTGACGACCCACCCCAGTGGAGAACCTCCTGGATGTGCGAGAGAACGCGCTGGCGCTTAGCGCTAACCTGCGCTGCGGACCGGCTGGCGAGGCCCAGCCATACTCCGTGGATTAGGGCGGTAGTGGTGATGAGCCATCGCTGCCCTTGGTCATCTTGGTGTCCGCCTGGTCGTCTTGTCCAGGTGATGGTGGATCTCCCACCAGGTACATCAGGAGACAGTACGTCGGTGTGAGGTGCCTATTTTTTGGATCTAACGGTGCGTTCAACGATCAAGAGATGGTGGTGGTGGGGGAGCTACAACGTGGAGCTGATGCATGGATGATGATCTTGGAGATGGGGTACAGGCGGCTACAGGTGACTGTGGGGGAGCTGTCTTTGCAGTCGAATGAGGAGCCAGAGGTCGAACGGCGAGTGATTTCTCTGGCCGATTGGCTCAAAGATATGACCGACGACATGCTGGAGATTATCTGGGAGCTGGAGGAGGGGCCGGATCCCCAGCTTGAAGCCTGCATCGATTGGAGGAGGGTAGATGGCATGATGTCTTACTGCTATGCCCTCTTCGATGAGGGTTGCAACCTGCGCGATATGCTTGAGGAGCGGCTGGAGGGCGATAATGACAAGGACGATGAGGACTTGTGACGAACCACTTCCCGAACCCGTGCTATCTTTCGTACCCCTTTTTGCTTGTATCATACGAACCCCATAAAAACCCCGTTTCGTTTTCTTGATTTTGGGTACCGCGTTTTTGGCTCCCATCTTGCGGAAAGCTTTTTCGACTCCCAGGTTCTGCTTTTCCTTTCTGCACTTCGGGAAATACATAGGAAATTACGTGCGCCTTAGCGAGCGCACTGGGAATTGGGCTCGGCAGTTGGGAATTCCGGGATAAGCGGAACTTCGACGTGTCCTTTTCGTATGTGTGAATGATCTTGGTCGCGTCGGGGAAAACTCTTGGAATTTTGTGCGAATACGAATAGGCGTAGGATTTTCTTTTCCCGCGTCCTTTTTTCGCGCGCGGATATGGTGATTTCAATTTTGAATTAAGATAGAAGCAAGCTGTAACTGTTTCGGTGCCTTTTTCTCTCTTTTTGTTGACGGCGCTGCGCGTGCAAAGCTTTCTCCTCTTTGTCCCCCGCATCGCTCCCTCCCGCGCTCCCTTCCCCTTCTCCTTCCTCTTTCTCTCTACCCGTAACTGTTTTCTTTCTCTCTCTCCCCCTCTCCCGCCTTGCTTTTTGCGCGCCCATTTCCCTTTCTTGATCATCTGAATCTTGGACCCGTCTTGCTCTACTTCTCACGCCTTTTCAAAGTCTTCTCCTCCTGCTTCTCCTCTTACACCTCAGTTTTCTCGTCGCTTTCTCCCCCTTCTATCTCCCCTATCGCAACTATAAAACCCGCAAGCGCGTCCGCAAATCTCTCTTACGTTCTCGACTCTCAAGCCAGCTTCCGGGAAGCAGTGGCTAGGCAGAGTGTTTGATGCGAGTCGGAAAGTCCTATCGGGTTGACGATAGGCTGGCCGGTTGCGCGCTGGATCGCCACGACGGACTGTGGGATCTGGGCGAACCGTGTCGAGTCTACGTCAGCGGGGTGACGATCGCAGTGGTGGGAGTTAGCACGCGGCGGCCGGGATCGTCGGTGCGGGTATGAGGATCGATGATTGGAGTTGAGTGAGTTATTGGCCCAGGGCCGTATTGGAATTAACGGCGAATGCGTTTTTGTTGTTGCAGATCTTTCTCTTTGACAACGCTGAACTTCCTTCTTTTGGGTTGCGTCATCTCCTATCTCGACTCTCCCCCCCCCCCCTCACCTTCCCCTTCTCCTCTATCTTTGAATAATGATGTGTCTCGATGCTTCTCTCCTTCTCTCTCTTTCCCTCTTTTGGATGAGCATGAATCTGTATGCTTTCCTTGCGTGAAAGAACTTCTTCTGGAACTCTTCCATTAGTTTCCTGGGTAATCCTCCTGCGCAAGGACCCCGTCTTCTTGTCTTGTGAACGGTGGATGCGTATGTATTGTGCAAGCAATCCATCTTTTCCTGTGCATGGCTCATTTTCGCATCTTCCACAGTGAATGAATGTATGGAAATGCGCGTCTCTTTGGCGTTGATTAGACGATTGTCGTCGGGATTTTCTCCGAGAATGCAAGAGTGTTTAGATCTGTAGCTTTGAGTGCACTGCGCATGCCATCTGCCTTATGCTGTCCGACATCAGCAGCCGAACCACGAGGCGGCCTCGA